AAGTAGTACGGTTTTTTATGATCTTTTGACTAAACTTGCTAGATTTTTCACTTATAGGGACAATTTCTGTATAAAATCGACTTTTTAAAATACCGTTTGCAATCACGCCATCTAGTGGTAATCTGAGAAATTTCAAAATAATTTTCGAGTTTGTTATCAACTTTTTTTTTCGGTCACACTACAACACATTCTTTCCAAGATACAGCCTCTTACCATCCTTATTGCAACACCCTGTATAAGCAATAACACAGTCCGGTTTTTTCACTGATTCATCGTAAACCGAACGCGTGTTGGAAGAGTTACTATTTATAATTCGGTTCGATTTAAACAGAAATGTAAATTAAAACTCTAAAAACTACTCAATGTAATTAAATTGTTAAAAGTTGCAAAGCATTATCAGCAGGTGTAGAGATCCGATTAGCATTTCTCATCCTCTGCTTAACGTAGTGTGAATTAGAACTGACACTGTTTAAATAATTGCCAAGTGGATTTAATTATCATTGACTTCAGAAGTGCAACAAGAAAGTTTCCTAAGACACTTGCGCGAAGTTTAAAAACGATTTACGGAAAGTTAGCTAAGTTATATTAAGTTTACTAATATGCAGTCTTTCTTGTTTCCTGTTCTTAGTAGAATTTTTGAATATTTTACCTTGTTATCAAGTTGCCGATCTTAATGTAAGTTCAAGTTAATTTCTTTGGGTCTCAACAGATGATTGCAATAAATGAATTAATCAATTACCAGGACACTTTAATAAATAGAAGAGAAAGCAAAAAACATTAAATCTGTGACGAAATTAGATATTCAATCGACCTAATCAGCTCAAATCAATCAATCGCAATCTAACATTTGCCAAACTAGTTCAATCTTGAAGAGTTTCAGTTTACAATTCCACAAATGAAGAGGTTTGCTGTTCACGACACATTGAATCGTTTCGAAACGAAACTGGTGATCGTTATTAATAAAAAAATAGCAGATGATTTTGATGATTTTGGCCTCTATTAAAGTGACCAGTTTCTCCAAATAAATAGTGGGTCAGTTTTGTAGTTCACATCACAAGAATTTGAGCAAAAAAGCTGTTTGATATTAGAGGAATTTTCCTGTAACTTTGGTTAAAATATCGTTAGATGTGCAGTATTGTTTAGGTATTTCGAACAATATTCGATTTTTGTTGTAACTTCTTACTTGTACTGTCCGTAACTTGCTTTCTTTCAATAATAGTCCCAGATATATTGATATTCAGCGTTCTAAAAGTACGTTTCCTATCGGGTGTTAAAATTGTGCTACAAAATAGTGAATGAGTCTATGTTTTCAGTAATATAGATTAGTGAAAAACCGATAGTATTATTGGCAAAATATAATATAATATTATTGGCATTATAGTTGGCAAAAAATGAATTTTTAGGAGTTGGCGCCGTGCCACTCAATTGGCTTAGTGCGCCAACCCAACGCACCGGCGCAGTAACTCAGCTGGAAAAATGTTGGTGACTTTCTTACTTGTTTTTAGATATATTTTAAGGGCCATTTATCAATAATATTTCTTTAAAATTTCGGAATTTTCCAGTTTAAGCAAAGTTACTCTTTTTTTTAAATGCTCAATTTTCTAAAGATTCACTTAGAAATACTGACAATCTTCAGGTATTTTCCGCGAAAAATGAACGAGCGAAAGTTTATAATCGCCACTTCCATTCCTCTGAAAACTGTAGATTTTGTTGACAAAAATTTGGTTTTTTAGTCTAGGCTTAAATTTAAAAACGCTCTATTTTGGAGAGTTTTCCTTAAAAATACTGGCGATCTGGATGTATTTTAGGCGAGAATTTACAATGGTAATCTAAAGCTTTGTAGGAATTTTACAGAAACTTTGTTCAGCGTCGAATTCGGGACAAAAACGAAAATAAATTTCCGATCACAAAACTAAAAGTGTTTAATGAAAAACGCAGAAAAAACATTATTTTCTAATGATTTTCTTCGTTTTTGACCATAATGAAAAGAATAATCAAATTAATTTTGCTTGAAAATTCGCCTCATTCATCGGTTTGCAGGGAACTTTAGAAAACTCCTTCGAGCTTCGAATTCGAACTTCGAATAATTTTATTCAGTTTAGCAAAAGTTTACAAAAAATAGTTCGTCGCCCTCATCGCTCTGAAGATTTTTAAAGTTTCTTTAAAATTTTAGGCCATTCCAGTTTTAGCAAAGCTTTTTTAAGCAATTCTGTTTACGCAAAAAACGCATTATTTTTTAGTTTCCTTAAAAATACTGACAATATTCAGGAATTTTCCGCGGAAAATTATGAAATAAATGTTATTAGAATACAGGCCTCCTTCGTCCCATTGTAAAAAGTTTCGAAATCGAGGCAAAAATACTGGCGCGATCTGGAGATCTTTCACGCGAAAATTTACAAGATAAATCTAAAGCTTTGTAGAAATTTGACGAAAACTTTTTTCAGCGTCGAATTCGGGACAAAAACGAAAATAAATTTCTCCCGTTTTTTCCCGAAAATCGTTAAGATTACAAAACTAAAAGTTTTTAAGCAAAATGCAAACAAACATTATTTTCGGAAGATTTGCCTCTTTTCTGACAATAATGGGGTAATTTCAGCCAAAAATGACAAAATTAATTTTGCTAGAAAATTTGCCTCATTCATCGGTTTGCAGGGAACTTTAGAAAACCCATTTCAGCTTCGAATTTGCAACCACATAATTTTATTCAGTTTTTTACCAAAAGTAATTAAAATTATCTTGAAAAAACAGCCAGAGAGCAAAAGTTTCCGAAAAAAGATTTGGAAAATTTGTAACCTTCATCGCTCTGAAGATTTTTCAAGTTTCTATAAACTTGCAGGTCTTTCCAGTTTTAGCAAAGTTTCTATTAAGCAATTCTTTCTACGCAAAAAAACGTATTGTTTTAGTTTTACTTAAAATACTGACAATTTTCAGGTATTTTCTGTGAAAGTTATAAAATAAATTTTATTGGAATACTCGGCTCCTGAACAACTATGTAAATTTTTTTCTGGAACCTTTTGCAGCTCCGAATTTTGGACAAAACCCTAATAATTTTTTCTTGATTTTTTCATTTTTGTCACTCACATCTCATCACTTTTGTCGCTGTTAACACTTCGGTTTGGATCATTTGAATTCTGGTTTCTTCACTTTTATTTCAATATATCTAAAGAAAACTCTCGGAATCAACACATCAGCTAGATCTCCATCAATTGGAAGAAGAAGAAGACCAACATAAACTTATATAAGCATATGTTGGTCTTCTTTCTTCTTCTGGTCTCTTAATATTAAGAGAACGGTCACCAAGATCTCTTAATAGAGAGTTTTTAGGCCCCTTAAAATTACGTTAACCTTAAACACTAATCGTTATCGTGATCATGCGCAGTGTTCAAAAAATAAGGTGTTCAGGCAAATAACGTTAAGTGCGATTTTTAGTTTTTGATACCGCGTTTGTTGCACTTTTAATAAAATAAACCTCACTTTATTGTTTTCTTATCCTGTTTTGTTTCGAAAAGTTTCAGAGCTAGTTTAAGTTTGTATTGTTATTAAACAAAAAGTGGTATAGATGGAAGAAAACATTGAAGCTGCCTTCCTGCACCGAAATGACCAGGGAGATGTGGATCACGATTTAATAAGAGACTTTATTTTACACTACATTATTGACCCAGCTGTTGTTGCAAACCTAAGCTATTTTTAATTTAGAAAATATTCAGACCAGAAATTGCCTTATCAATTTTAGGTTACAGAAGGAACATATTCCGAACATATTAAATAAAAATTCAAAATCAAATAGTTAGGTTATGGGTTAGAAGTTAGAACCTGTACGTGCTATGTTAGTAGTGTTGCAAAAGTTCAAATTAGCCCAAACAATTTTCACATAAAATCCGTAATTACCTAATAATGGCGTGATTATTAATCAATGACAAAGTCTTATTTAAATTTAGTATGCATTTCTTATTCTATTATAGCCGATTATTTTATTAATAATATTAGAAATAAGTCAAATATGTCAACACCGTCGTTCTGCTTTTTAACGTCATGCTTATTAACGTTACCGCTACTAGTACGTAAATAAAGAAACAGGTTATCATCTAATAACGTAAACGGTTATTTCTTTACTAATGCGTATGCTCAAAATAACAGATAACGTATAACGTGTTGCAATTAAGGGGCCTAAAAACTCCCTAATATTAAGATAACAGTTACTTAGCCGTTTTTTTTAAATAATATATTGTTTTGTGTGTGCAAGGCCTAAGCAACCGCTAAATAAATTTGGAAGCAAAAACCAGCAAGAATATTGGATTAAAATTCCTCCGATTTACGGTGTCACAAGAGCGCTGTTCCATTAACTGTTTTTTTACAAAGATATCACCCAAACGCTGTTTTGAAAGTAACATTATTTATACAAGATGGTCTTCAATTAATGTGACAAAATTTATTGCCATATTGTTTAGACAAAAATATTGCGTTTTAGGCAAATTCATATTGTCCAAAAGTTAATAGTTCCTGAGGTACAGGTTGTCAAAGTGTACATAATGTTTTGTTGCTTTTTGATAGATTCTTAACCGGTTTTACTATTACCATAAAAAATTGTGGTTATTCAATTTTTAGATCGACTTTTACGATCGAGATTTACCGTTTGACACCCTGTGCCTCAGAAACTATAAACTTTCGGATAAGACAAATATGCCTGAATCGCTTATGTTTACCGAAACAATATGAATTTCATCACATTAGTTGAGAGCCACGCTATATTAACTTCAAAAAGTACTGATCATATGTACTTCCAAAAGTCCCGCTAGAAACATTTTTTCAATTCACATATTTAACATTTTCGTGTTTCGGCATCAAGACGGATATAAGCCAATAACGGCACATCAGCAATTACTGTTAACAACATCCTGGAACTTAAAAAAACCAGCAAACCAGCTGACGTCCTTCCAAGGCTGAATTTGGCGAGTTCCTTTTCTCTTCTCTTGACATTGCACTACTTCTTAGCCGGAGGGCAACGCTTGGTTTGCCATGGTATGGTATAGTATGGTATGGTTCCCCATTCTCTTCCATTGCATGCAGAAAATACTACGTTCTGCCAAGAATCGCGGGTACCGGTAGTATTTGGCTTAAGCAGCCAGTTCGATAAGAACGGTGAAATTGAAGAAACGTTGAGTGATTACCGGAAGTAGTGAAGAAAACGTGAGCTCTAGAGCACAGTACCTAAATGGTGTTTTTTATAGTGGTGAAATGTGGACAAAATTAGATAAACGGACTAGTATTTGAAAACTTTGCCCAAAATCGCTAAAATTAAAATGGGATTTCAATTGGTGTATAAAGTATTCCTCTTAACTGCTCTGGGTAAGTCTTGAAAAAACAATGTTCTAATGGAAAATAGCCAATTAAATCGCACCAAGGAACTTAAATCAGTTTTCGAGGTACAATACACAAACATATATGAAAAAATTAAAATCAACCCTTGGCAAAATAAATAAGTGAAATAATGACATTTTTAATTCAACAAATTACCCTTACAACAGCCATGCGTGCTTTAATTTGCTTATTATTGTCCGATATTAATATCAAATTCACATTGTGGTCGGGAAATTAGTGTCAGCGCAAAAATTTGCATCGGCATAATGGAGGGGAAAAAACAAAGGATAATTTTCAAAAAGCTCAGCCGGAAGTATTTCCAGCTTCAAAATATAAAATTATTTTAAAATTTACTATATTCATTGAACTGAATTGTGGATAAATAAATAATTTAATATAATAACTAAATTATACATAATACACAAAAGAGTCATCAAAGTGTGTGCGTTTTAATAAAAGGTAAACTGTAATTTGCCGAAAAATTTACCTGCTTCTGAAATGCAGTTTAGAAATTGAATAAATATAATATGGCGATGCAGGCTTTGGATATTATGCACAAGGTGGTTTCGATTTTGCCTTTATATTTGTTTAAAGTACATCGGAAAACGGAACACTATTTAAACGCTTTTGGCTTTCGTTTGAACCAAATCAGTATTCAATTAATGATGCGTTACGAAGGAGGAGCCGAAGCTAATTATTAACAGACATTAATTTAGCGCTAAAAAAGCACTAAACAAAGCAAAATTAAATGTATTGATGTTATAAAATCCCTATTATTTATTGTTAAAAAAACACCTTCTATGAAATAGACATTTAATTTATTCTCGTATGAATATTGGGTAAACAGGCGATATTTTATTAAATCTTCTCCAATCAACCATATTCCAAATAACGACTATCAAAAAGTAAAGTTTTTCCGCGTTTCTTCAACAGTGTTTTTTTCGCGTCCTCTTTTATAGAGTGATTGCTTAAGGATATTTAATTTTTTTGGAGTATCCACTTAATACAATTTATTTCAAAAATAATTTGACGGGAAAATTAATTTGAAACAATAAAACTGATTGAATATTTAACATGTTTATTATTACTTATTCGAAAGCAATTTCATCAATCGGGTGTTTTCAATGTTTTTTTAATTTTGATATATAGGAAGTAGTTGACACTGATATATTTTTTCCAAAAAAAGTCTCCATAAAAAAAATCGTTGTTATATGCAAGGCGTCTCGTGACTCGATGACCATGCTTAAGAACAAATTTCTTGATAAATTTCCAGTCGAAAATGTATTAATCCCTTTTCACCAAATGTCAATAGGGTGTTTTCACTTTTTTTTAAATGTTGATATATAGAAAGTAGTTATGGCAAACAATACACTGGTATAATTTTTTTGCAAAAAAGTATCTATTATAATTTGAAAGCGAATTTAAATTCAAGTCAGATATTTTCCGCCAAAAACGCCGAATCCGTATCGTCGGTTGCCTATCCCGATTGTGACGTATCAGGTCATATCAACAAAGCGTCTCGTGTTTATTTTGCTGTTTTCGCAGCTTTGTTTTATTATTTAAGTTATTGTGATATCATTATTTTATTGATTATTATTAGTATTATCTTGCATAATGGAAAATAGTGACATGTATGAATCACAAAATAAGTGGTGTTTG